CGGGAAAAGAAGGAGGTATGGATGAAAACTTTTCTGGAGAACGCACACACCTGGCTGTACTATTTCGTGTTCATATTACCTTGAAAGCCTAGAATTTTTCCATTCCTCGCACGAAGGGCTTCTCCATAGGTGCAGTTGGTAAAGAGTTGTGCTGTAGAAGTGCTAGTTTGGCGATTTAGCGCCTAGAGAAACGGCCGAAATAAAGTTTAGAGGATTTTCCTCTCTGCAGGAAATTTTGGATCAATCGTTGAGGAGGCGGTCAAGGACACGGATTTAAGTCCAAGTTAAGACCTTTTAAAAGTTCGTTTGGAATGCGCTCTTTATGAATAAGACGTCAGGCATTTGGATAAAATTATCTTTTGTATTTTGTATTGTCTTTGCCATTAAATTAAATTAAGTGATGTTATTAAATACGGCAATGTGCAGAGATGCTGCTCTGAAGCTTTAAAGTCCATGCTCAATTTGAGAATTATATATATATATATATATATATATATCATCAAGATTCGAAATTGAATCACCTGATTTTGAACAGGGTGCACAACGCCCTAAACAATCCCAATCTTTAGAAGTTATTATATTTCGTGTTTATTTTAATAATTATCAACTCGTTTCAACATATCCCTTTACCTTCGTGCCTATGTAACTTTCTCCCTGTTACGCAAAAAACGAGAACTCTTAAATCATAATTTTCAGAAATTTCAAAATTTCAATTTCATTCAAAAATTTCGATCCAAACTTTCTAATGGTTTTCCTACTTATGAAAACCCATATTTTTTATCCTAAATGCGAATAACAAATAAAAAATAATAAATTTTTAAGAAAAATCTTTGATCTTTAATTCATTTACCACCGAGGGAAAATAAATTAACGATCAAATATTTTTTAAATAAAAATCGCGGTTTAAGTTAAGAGAGCGAGAAACGGTTCAATCATGTACTGTTTGGAAACGTAATATAATTAATTTGTGAAATCTGAGCGATTCTAGAAGTTTTGAAGTTTGTTATAATATGGAAAAAATTAGATAAAAAGTTAAAGATGGGGAACAAAAAATTCTTTCCAATAAGCTTTTTGTTTAAACATGAAAAGTATGAATATTTTAGTTCCAAGGAAACTATTTAAAAACATGCCATAAAAGGGAAATTCTAAAAACTATAATAATAAAAGATTTTTATGTTTCTAATCAAATAATGAACGATACGTGATTTACTGAAAAAAAGTTCGTCTATAGTTAAAAGTTCGCATATTAGAGTTTTCAAAATTTATTTATTGCTGAAAAGAAATTCTGCGAAGGAGTTACAGAGAAAGAAATTTTGTAAAAATTAACGCATAATAGGTTATTTGTCAGTGAAACTTTTATACTTGTAAACTTCAAAGTATATCAGCAAGAATAAATAGCACAAAAAATACATAATGAGGATCATGTGATTTCTCCAGTAACTAATGAATGCTTCATATAAGTATACTTGCAAAAACTATTATAAATATAGAGCAGCACCATTGCACAAAATTTAATAATTCAAACTTAAACTAATGACAATTTAATAATTAAAAGCAATGATTAAATAGGAATGAGATAGGAATGAATAGGAATGATATATATCTTTGGTNATATATATAAAGATCTCATAACATATTATTGAAATGTTACAAATACATATTTATGAATCATCATATATATTTAAGAAAGGAAATACTTTTCTCGAGTAAGCCACACAACGTATACTCAAACTGAGCAATAAGTTGGACAGAAATAAATGTTTAAAAGACAAAATGTTTTGTATTCTTATTAACTCCTTCATACTACATTGAGAAAAAAATCAGTTTTATTCTCAACCACTATTAGTGAATGGTAATATTTACCGTAGTTTTGATCCCATGGGAACACCAGAAAGCTCGGTAATTTTTACTGAAGTGTTTTGGTGATGATTTTGGAAAAATAAACGTTAAAATATGGTTGAATAATCTTTAAAAATTTTGGTAGCTGTGGGAAATTTCGAAAAGTTTATCATAATAACTTAGAAAATGGTATAAAACCTATTTTTTTGGGTAAATTAACATGGAAATGACAGCTATAAATTTGAAAATCAGAATTTCTGTCAAACCGTTACCATATGAACGGAAAAACTACCAAATGAGTTTCAATACTTAACAGAAATATGTTCTTTTTTTTTAACCGGAAATATTATTACCAAATAGAATGGTAATTTTACCAGACTTTTTTATGTTCATTAACTTTTTCTGTAATATGTTCACTAACTTAAGCAGTATATGCTTACTATATTTTAGTTTTAATTAAACTTCAAACGTAACGCACAAGAGAACGATGTTTTATTTTAGAAGTTCAAAATCAACTATGTTTCTCTAACTTTTTTCTTTGGTTTTAATGCATCCATGAGTTAATGTTAAAATAAAGGATATAAACATGTAGTGTCTCCAAACACTAGAGTCTATAATCGTGTATAAAGGAAAATTCCATGAGTTATTTGTTACAAATGCATTTACAAGTAGCCTAGCATTCAAAAGGATCCTATAAATTGAAGATTTCTCAGCTGTTGTGCTGTGCATTTTTAATACTTTACTTTGAAAAGAGTACCAGCACATATACAAGGCTATACTAAAATATCTAAATTTTCTGCGAGCTCTAATTATGAATCAATCCGGGAGTTTCCGGAATGAGTTTCGGGGGTTGGCGTGAACAGCGAGCAGGTAACGCGTGCGATTAGTAAACTTATATTACGACGCAAGTGTTCGTCAATTTAGCATATTTAAAAATATAGATGTAATTTAAAATTTAAAAAAAATTAATATTTTGATGGCAAAGCAAATTAAAGAATATCATTACAATTAATCAATTAATTGAATGATATTCAATTACAATTAATCAATTAACTGAATATCATTACAAAGCTGTAAATGATATTCAATTATTTAGTCAATGCAAATAAATATCTTACTGATAGTCTAGATAAAATTTTACTAAATATTTTGCTATTAATTTCTATGATGATTACAACACAATCCAATATAACTAATCTCAAAAGATTAAAAATGCTTTCTTAATATTTTAAAGGTAAAAAAATATTTATTTAATTAATCGGCATCCAAACACAAAAATTACATTAAGAATAGTAAATACTTTATTGAGTTCGCCTACGTTTAAAATGAATGGTATTTGTTTAATTATAATTTTTTAAGTGCTTAATAGATTCGTAATTTCATTTAGATACAGTTTGTGCAATTTCTTGAAAGGAAATTAATAAACTCCCTCAATACAAATTTTATTTAATAGTTACAGGTAAGTAAGCAAACTTTGTAAAAATTAATTTTTTTCAATTGATTCTTGATTTAATTATTCAGAATCGTCGCTGTAAAATAATATAATAATTTTAATTTCAAATGTTTAATGCTTTTGTTAATCCAATTTTATTTCAGTTCATGAATAAGACGATGCGTTAACTACGTTGCGTTTTATTGCTATGCGTTTTATTCAACGATGTGTTTTATTTATCTATCTTTTTAACAAAATACGTTTTTTCAAAGCAAAATGTCATCGAATCTAACTTATTTTCTGTTATTTAGCATATTTCTTCTTTGAATAAACTTTTATTATTCATGTTCCATACAGTTTCAGAATAATACGATGTTCTTTTTTTTCCAGCAAAACAATGCATTTACGTATTACTGCAAACTGGCTAACCAGCAATAACCCAGCACTCAGTCCACTGATCCAGATTTTCATCACCCGATTATCACCGAACCCGGTAATAATCAGGTCACTACTGCTCATTTCCGAATTTCACTACTTATTACCGGTTTCTGGGACCTGGTTTTTGTTCTCATATCGAGTACCGGGTACCCAGAACCGGCTAATTTTACTGGGTAACACTCATATATGTTCAACGCATTTATATTCAGATTTATTGTAACCTTAAGACAGTAATGTTTAGATTATGGTTCTTAAGCATTCATAAAAGCACTTTTAGGTTTAGAAATTCAAGTATTTCAGGAGTTTTTTTAATAATTTAAATAAGTGGTTCTGGTCACAGAATATATATGCTTTTATTATTTCTTTAGAGTTATATCTTGTGAAATATAAGTTCGATAGAAAATTCTGCGATTTTTTGATTGTTTTATGGAAACTTTATATTACCCACCGGGAAATAAATCAAAATTTTACAAAAATCTTGAATGGGCAGGGTAGCAAATAAAATTTTTGCCGGGTTCCCGGAACCATAGATTCAGTTATCACCGGATACCGGGCCCGCCAAAATTTATGACCCGATATATTTCTGCTTATTAGAAATTTCAAGGAATCAAATTCCTCGTACCACTTGTGTGATTTCTTAATTACAGATGGGATTGTTGTTTACTATGTACTATTATTAAAATTACTTTTTAAACTAATACATAATTTACGAAATATAAGGCTCATATTTTCTAAGTGTAAATACATTTTAGTCAAGTCAGGAAATTATTTCACAATTGACTCAAAGTTAAAAATTTATTTCTTAATAAGATTTTTGTTGTTTTTAGATTAAATGCACATTAGAACAAATAATCACTCTGAATCAAAATGTTTACCTGGTTTTATTATAACTAAATGTACTTTAACAAATTTTTCTAATTATTCAAGGAAAATGTTTCTAACATTTCTAAGTTTTAAAAATATCCATATTTACGTATTTATACTGAAATTCAACTTTTTTTTAAAGTAAATGAATATTCTCTAAAAATAAATCTAGTGTATACTAAAGTCAAGGACTTCATTTCAAAAATATACCCGCCCTTGGATTTAAAGTAAGTAAAAACTTATTTATAAAACGGCTATGTAATTTAGTATCATTAATTCACCCCCCAAAATCCTATTTTTGTAACCAAAACTTCGAAATTATCAAGCAGTAAGATTATGCAGTATTGGTGAAAACCGCATTGGCGCGTTTGGCGAGGCTCAAGACTTTCTTTTATTGCTATTTTATTCTCTCTTCCTCCCCCACCCAAGCCTGTTCTACGCGCCGCTGAGAGAAGGAGTGGCGCGCACTGTGAGGGAGCAGCCTCCTTCTCAACACCAGAGGAAACTAAAAGGCAGCCAACCAGTTAGCAGGGAAAACGTCGCCGGTAACTTAACTTCACGATACTGGTTTTCCCCAACTTTTCGTCTCTCGAAAAAGCTAGAGAAAGTGAGATAAAAGTTTCCGAGGCGGCTGGTTTGACGGGACGCGTTCGATTAGACATCCGCGCTCTAATGTCCCACGCGCGTCCTACTGGCCTTTCGCGCCGCCGGTAATAATAACTGTGGGACGGGTTTCGAGCAGACGGCATGGCTTCAGCAAACTTCAATCCCTATCATGGAGGTCAAACTGTGAACGGCAGCATGCCTGAGGACTCGGAAGTTCCTGATCTTGAATGGGACGATATTCTTATCATCATTTTAAAATCATGTGTACTATGTTTGATAATGTTCGCCGCTGTGTTTGGCAATCTTCTTATCATCATCAGTGTGTATCGCCATCACAAACTAAGAATCATCACAAATTATTTTATCGTGTCCCTGGCCTGTGCGGACACGTTAGTGGCTTTGTTTGCAATGACTTTCAATGCCATTCATACAATAACGGGTAAGTGGATGTTTGGACAGATACTGTGTGATTTCTGGAATAGCTGCGATGTTTTATTTTCTACAGCTTCCATTCTCCATCTTTGTTGCATCAGCCTGGATCGCTACTATGCTATAGTTAAGCCTTTTGATTATCCCAACCGTATGACAAGCCGCAACGTATCCATCATGCTTGTAATTGTATGGGTCGTATCATCATTAATTAGTTTCATACCTATATTCTTAGGATGGTACACCACAGACGAGCATCTGGAATTCCGCTCTCTGCGTCCAGATGTTTGCGAGTTTGTTGTAAACAAACCATACGCAGTCGTATCTTCCTGTGTTTCGTTTTGGGTACCATCACTTATAATGGTTGGCGCATATATTCGCATATTCTGTGAGGCCACCAAACAGGAAAAGATGATATGTGCCAGTAAAATAACTGCCGCCATACCGCAGTATCCGCGCAACAGCACGGACACTACAGCTCAGATGGTGGTCCATGCCCCTCAGCATCGTAATTCTCATGTTGACGACGAGCATTCGACTCCAGTCAAAAGGAACTACAGCAAGATGAAGAGAGAACACAAGGCTGCAAAAACTCTCGGTATCATTATGGGTTGCTTCATTTTCTGTTGGTTACCATTCTTCATATGGTACGACACTGTCAGCTTGTGTGACAGCTGTGAATGTCCTGACATTATCGTTCAGATCCTATTTTGGGTGGGATACTTCAATTCATCGCTCAACCCTGTTATTTACGCGTACTTCAATCGCGATTTTCGGGACGCGTTCAAGGATACTATCATGAACTTCTGTTGCAAATGCGAGTGCACCAAGAATTTGCTGAACAGAGATGCTCATAGGAATAATAACATTCACTTTCATTGTACGTACAGATCGGCCCAAGACATTGGACTTTCGGAGAATAAGTGTATGCGAGATATATAGCTATAGGCTTTCCTAAATGTTCGGGTAAGCAAACCTTATACTTCATTTTACAGTTTTTATATACCTATATGTATTAGTTTGGTAATATTTTTCTAAATTTCCATCTATACACTTTCCTGTAATGATGGATTAGCCACAAACATATGTACTCCTTAAAATCCCTAAAAAGAGGCAGGGAAATAAGATTTTAAATCATTTTATTCTCCATACATTTTACAGTTTTGTAAGTACTTATTAGTTTGATAATGTTTTACTAAATTTCCATCTGCAAAATCCCCCGTTATAATGGATTAGCCACAAACGTAGATACTTAAAATCCATGAAAAGGAGTAGGATTTTAAGATTCAAATAATTTTCTTCTTCATACATTTTACAGTTTCGTGTATACTTATATGAATATTGGTAATGGTTAAAAAAATTTATATTTATGCACTTCCCTATAATAATGGATTAGACAGAAAGATATATGCTTGAAATCCATGAAAAAGAGCCGGGTTTTATGATCCCAAATAATTTTTTTCTTCTTGCATTTTGCACTTTTGTATCTACTTACATGTATTAGTTTGGTTATGTTTTTACTTTATTTGCATCTAACACTTTCTTTTAACAATGAATTAGGGTACAAGCGTGCATGCTCCTTGAAATCTATGAAATGGTGCAGGAAATTAAGATATTGAATAAATTCATTCTTCAATCAAAGTTGGATAAAATTAGATATAGATCCTTGTAGATATCTATATAAAAACACTGAGCTTTTATGTCTTTTTAAAAGAAAACACAGATGTGTAATCGATATAAATAATTTCTTCGTGAAATTGTGCCTGTCTGTACATTATATATCACCGTGCACAGAATTGGGCTCTTTTTTTTGTTAAATAGTGAAGTTTTTTTTTCAGTATTATTTTGCTAAAATATAATATAGAAAATAGATTTGAAGGGTTGTAGGAACAATGGAGTAAAAATGAAAAGAGAAACTTTTTTTCAGTTAATTACGGGAAATGTAAGGATTTTCATTCTACACACTATTCTGTCACATTCAAGTTCAAGCATTCATCTTTTTAGTTAAATAAAATAAAGCTAGCTGCCGTGATTGTTTATACAGAGTGCAATTCTTTTATATGCACTTAATTCTAGTGCTGTTTCTTTATATAATATAATAAATACATACTCATATTTGTTTCCTAATAATACATTTTAAGCAAAAAATATACTTGTGAAAGCTTTTAATCAAGAAAAGCAATATATGACATATATATTACTTTTTTTGACTTGAAGTTTCCACTACTATTTTCTTCTCTGCAAAAGATTAAATTTATTTATTTATTTTTATACTTAATGCTCTAGATTTCATGGGTTGCATAACAAAACTAAACAATGATCGTTTTTATAACTTATAGTTTATCCGAATAGGCGTAGGACTTGTTTGCATTACTTTTGATCAAACTATACGAAATTCAACATTAAAGTAATGCTCGGAAATCAGTGCCATAGCTATAGGGAGAAAGTCAGCAGACCCGGGCTATTTTCAACTTAAAAAAAATTGAAAAAATATTAAAAATTATTGAAAAAAAAGATCCCCATTTAGACTGATAATTCAATTTAAAAGCAGTCATTGAATTTTATTAGAACATTTTTGTTCTAATATTCCTGTATTCGACATGCGTTACGTTAGCAATGAACGCAATAATTAACTTCATTTCCATGTATCAATCAAAAAAGTACGTCGCTTTTTCTAACTCCGCTTATATTATCAATAAGTGTATTATGAAACAAAAAAGAGAGAAATGCTAAACAAAAAACGATTCTCGATTTTAAACGAGTTTATACGTTATTACTTTTCGCATTGTTTGATGTTAGAGGCGTTTTAACGATTAATCAAGTTTTTTTAAAACTATTAATGGCATTTTTTTTAAATTCGGCTTTTCTACAGCTTTGCTTACTTGAAATAATTTCAAATTAGCGTTAAATTCCATACGTAATTCTATTCCAAAGTAATAATTGTCCGTTAAGTCGATTAAATGTTAATATTTTTCATTTTTTATTAAATTTCGATATTTTTTTAACACTACGTAGCATCTCGCAGGGCAGCTTTAATGTAAAAACGTTATAACATTTAGAATGTGTGGAAAGAAAAAATTAAGTTTGGAGAACCACACTTAATGAAGAAATTGAGTTGAACCCTCACCTTTAAAAAAAATTGCTAAAATGACCTTATTTTTCCCTTTACAAAATTTAAAAAGTATTAAATATTGCTGGAATTTCCTTTCAAAACATACAATTTCAACATAATAGTGATAATTTTTAAAACTAACGACACCACACAAAACTTAATATTGACTGACTTACACAAAATACATTGTTTATTATAAACTAATAATGAAAAGAAACACTTATGTAAATGAGCTAAATGTTGATGCGTATGTAGTTCTGAATTAATAATTTCATCAAACACTAAAAGCCAAATAGTTGAGACAGCATAGCTTATTTATTTTTTTCCTTTATTATTCATTTATTTAATGTATTTCTATTTGTGCATTGAGAAACATTAAGTTTCGCAAATTTTACCATTTGAGACTTCAGTTAAACATCTCCATTAAATATTTTTACTTACCTTTTATTTACTATTTCTCATTTGTTGTCCTCTTTTAAAAATGCTCTCTTATCTTAAGACTAAAATTCATTTGTTCATCTTCAATAATGAAAATAATTATAACAGACGATTTTTTTACACCACAAAAATAAAAAATTCACATTATTTCACAAATCTTTGTAATACTTCTTTAATCATTAAGAGTGATAAGAAATCTTATGGAGCAAAATACACTAAATATACTGAAATTAATAAAATGTCTAAAAAAACCTAATGCTTTTTAATAGTAAATACTAGAACCAGACGTGAACAAAGGCCGCAAAACATTTGGAAAAAACACAAAATTTCCAAAGAAATGAAAAAAACTAACCTAGAGGAAAATTAGGGCAGAAACATTTCCAAGTGTTTTCAAAGGATGGTGAGGGGCTATTGTCGTTAACAAGGGAATCCGCATACATATGAATTAACAAGATTCCAGAACAACAAGATGAGCTGATGTGACAGGGGTAGAAAGAATTTTGGGGTTATCGCAATTAAATTTATGCCGTAGGTTGATAACAACGTACAGCAATAGGTGATTTCTCGTATTTCCATCATATTGTGTTCTCTTAATCTAAATTTCAAAGCGCATTTGTTATCCCGTTGTACCATACGTATGTGTTAAATGTTATACGCATTGGAAACGTATATGTTAAATGTTCCAACTATTTCTGAAACTGATAAAATTTTGAAGGAACCTCAATTTTAATTTTAGCAAGCCTTAAAATTACTTTAAAATTTTGTAGCATACCAAAGAGAAAAATGGCAAACTAACAAGTTCAGTGAGAGGTTTAGATGTATACGGATTTGATTGTATTAATTTCATTTCACTAGTTTGCATCCGGAAAGATCCGTAACTGGCGTTTGGAAATAATCCAGTCATATATATCAGTATATAGTTTGGATTAAGAAAGTCAGTGAAAATTAAAAGTAGGTCCGAACCAAAAACAAAAATAAATTAAATTTGTAAGGGAAATAAAATTATAGTAAATAAGAGAAAGCGAAAATATGTGATAAATAAATAACATCACAAAAATTATATTCTTACGAATCACATCATTTGTATAATTTTTCCAGTTTTAGTATTTTGAATATCCATAACTTCAATATCGAGAAATTTACTAATTTATGCCTCACAACAATACATCTCCTCACATCACCCTTATAAAATAGCTTATGTAAATATAAAAATTAAAATGTACTTCCAATATACATTCGTTGTTTTTCCAGTACATGAAAGAAAAGATCTAACTTATTTATAACATCTTTGATAACATTTTCTAATTATAGAAAACTTTTTTCCCTTTTTTTTTTTCCAAAGTGATGTTTCAGATATTTTATGTTCGAATCCTACTTCACTAGAGTACAAATTTTAAATTTATTCACAGTTTCAATAATATTTATCCTATATTTGTCCCGTGTTTTGTAAAAATCGTGAATTACCTTCATAATTTTCAAATTCTCACAAATTTTTATCTCAAATAGCTCTTTCTGCGATTTCACTTGGTGATATTACATTTTTATTTGGTGATCTATTCTCTAAAATAAATATTGATAGCAATTGTAACCCATGTTATTTGGCAAGGAAACGTTGTATGAAAAAACATTTTCCCAAATGCAGCTGATACAACAAAAAATCCTGAACAATTTTATTTTAAAAGCGAATCTCATTCATAAAGGTTTTGTCTCCAGAAAAAAAGTAAGAGCAGATAGTGATTGTAAATTTGATTTTACTGTCATATCAAAAAATAAAACTCATCGGTACCCAGAGATACTCTAATTTTGTTTTATTTAACAAACACCGCTCAATTATGCAAGCTTTAAATGGCCATTATTTGGTTTGAAATATTTGTATATTTGCTTTTTCAAAAACGTAATGTTCGAAACCATGTTTTATATGAGTCGAGTTTAAATTGTTAACAATTGGGATAAATTTATTCTTAAAAAACTAATTTGAAGAATATTTGGATAAATATATGCACCACTAACTTCTCGTAAAAGAAGGTATTATTATGATTTAAACGAATACCATAACATAAATTTAATAAATATATCAAATTCTCAGTCATATCATATTAAAAGTAATTTTTGTTATTAAAAGATTTTTATTGTTTCTTAAATGTTATATACTTATACGAAACTTCAATGCAAGTTTATTTCACTCTTAAATTCTTAGCTATAAAGTGCCGGTGGTGGCTCCAAACAATTGAAATTTATGTACATTGATTTGATTATCTTTTAGAAAATTCTCTCAGTCAATATTTGAATTAATTCAAATTTAGTGCAAACAGTTTCCTTTTCAAAGTTTCCTCGTAGAGCGGGCTATGGAATATTGGCAGCTTAATTAAGTTCTATTCCAGAAGAATAGCTGTTGACAGTAACTTTTCTAAATAGT